CGTGTGCGTGTGCGTGTGCGTGTGCGTGTGCGTGTGCGTGCGTGCGTGTGTGTGTGTGTGTACGGTGGATTGGTGTGTGTGTGTGTGTGCGCGTGCGCGTGTGCATGCGTGCGTGCCTGTGTGCGTCCGTACGTGTGTTCCTTCGCGTGTGAGTGAGTATGAGTGTAAGACAGGCACGTACGCCGATGCCCCGTTTCCCCCTCATATCTCCCTCGAACCAAAGACAACAGTTACCTGCGCATAACGAGCTATGTTTTCTATGTCGCGCGTTTTGGCTGCGCGAAGGCCGAGTTCTTACTGTTTGTATTGTTCGTAAACCCGGTGAACGTATTATGAGTGAACAACGGTGAACAACATGGCAGCACGGTTGTTCATCTGTGAACAACTGGTAGCAGCGAGTGAACAACGGAGCTGCTGATAAATGTAAAAAGCTCTATACGCTGCGCAGAGCTCTACTGGGAGGCAGAGGCTGGAGAGTACTTAGTGTAAGGAGGCGACCTAAGCTCGTTGCTGTAATCGGGGAAGATGGGGGGGCAGGGAAGTTGCTGTGGGTAAAAATCACCGAGAACTACTCCGAAAACTCTTGTAGCTGGTAGGAAGGTTCCCAGTCACCCTGGCGATCGCTTTGTTACTGCTGCCGCTGTCATTTGTTTATTATTGCTGCTGCCATTTGTTTATTTGTTGTTGATGCTGCTGTTGTTGTTTGATTTGTGTTTGTTTGTTGTTTCTGTTGTTGGTGGGTTGTGCGCCATTAGCAGTACTGCCAGTTTTTGTTCCTATTCGCATTTTTATTGTATATAATAGCATTTATTCTTACAAAGTGTAAATAGTGTAGCGGCGTACACGTGTAGCTATATATATTGTAAATGGAGATCGTTTTTTCTTAATTTATTGATCTGTCGAGCGGACGTTCACCCAACGGACGACAATTTAGCTGTGACAGTGGCGACCTCTGTACACTCACATCCGCATTATTTGTGAAATGAGACAATGAACCATCAGTCGCGAGGGAGGAAGTCATGTGTGCAGCCATGTTTGTATCCCACTGCTCGGATGTTGACGTATATGTATATATGTATATGAATATGCATGTATGTATGTATGTATGTATGTATATATACATATATATTTATAGAGCGAAATAAAGTGCCATGAATAATGTGAAACCCATAAATAGATTGTTCTCATGTTCTTATTGGCTTGCTGGCTACCACAACACAACACATATGGTTACTGAACACATAACGACGAAATATATGACTATAAAATGCTAAAACTACTTGTCACAGATTGTCCTTGAAAAAAAAACATGTCATTGAAACGTTAAACGTCATTGAAGTCTTTGAAAAAATAATTCACACTTTTGTGGGAACCATGTACTGAGTACCTATAGCAGTAGTAATGTACCATATAGAATCAACCATCGCGAAAAACTAAGGAAAAAACATTCAATATCTGATATTCTATTCTTTATCTTTCTATATCTTTTTCTATCTATCTATATCTGATATGTCTATCTATTTATATGGTACTTTAATCTATATACTCCCTTCCCCTCAGTATTTCCCTCCCCCTCTCGCGGGTAGTATCGCCCACGGCATCAGTTGCACCGTGAAATAGTAGCCAGGCAAATGGCCGGTTATGAGCCTCGAATTTTTCACCCCCCCAAATCACAAAAAGTGGATTTACGGCTATAATACGCGTTTTTATAGTCACAAAAACACACATACACACCCACTAACGGACGCCCACACGCGGGTATGGTCGCACGCACGCGTGCGCGTGTATTATAGGCGTAAATTCACATTTTGTGCCTCGGGGAGTGAAAAAGTTCGAGCCGAAATGCAGCGAATTTCCTTCAAAAGTTTTTTAACGCTTGACTGGCCATGGGCGATACTATCCGCGAGAGGGGAGTAAGGAAGTGCTAAGTGCAAACTGCATGCAGCGCCCCCTTCGTACAACCAGAGACAACTCATGTAATTGAGCCTAATTTAGCCAGAGCGAGAGCGCCATCTGTCGTGGAGTTTGTCTGCGTTTCTTCTTCCGAACTTCCTTACTCCCCTCTCGCGGATGGTATCGCCCATAACCAGTCAAGCGTTAAAAAACTTTTGGAGGAAATTCGCTGCATTTCGGCTCCAACATTTTCACTCCCCGAGGCACAAAATGTGAATTTACGCCTATAATACACGCGCGCGCGCGCGTGCGACCACACCCGCGTGTGGGCGTCCGTTAGTGTGTGTGTATGTGTGTGTGTGAGTGAGAGAGTGAGAGATGGGTGAACGGGAAGGCGAGAGAAATAATTATATTAGAAGGAATATGTGCATCCGTGCCTGTGTGTGCCGTTTGTGCCGTACGTGCGTTTGTCTGCACGTGTGTACTGCGCATACATGTGCACATCTCCGGCTGCATTCTTCCTTCCCTCCGTCCCTCTCTTCTTTCTCTCATCTTTCCTTCCTCCTCCCCTCTCACTCTCTTCCCCTCAGTATTTCCCTCCCCCTCTCGCGGATAGTAT